TATGGAATATTTCCTGATAATATTGCCTAAAGGAAGCATATATAAATTGAACAGGATTGGTCCGAGGACAGATCGTTGAGGAACTCCATGACTAACTTTGGCGTGCATGGAGAACTCATTGTTAACATGTACAAACTGAAATCGATCTGATAAATAGGACTTAAACCAGCTTAGAGCGGTTTGTCTGATGCAATAAGGAGGTCGTTAGTAATTTTCACCAGTGCTGTCTCTGTGCTATGATGAGCTCTAAATCCTTACTGAAAATCCTCAAATAAACTATTGCTCTGTAGAAAGTCACACAGCTGTTCAGCAACTGCTTTCTCCAGAACCTTAGAGAGAAATGGAAGGTTAGATATAAGTCTATAGTTGGATAAAACATCCGGATTCATCCAAGTTTGGGCTTATTCAAAAGAGGTTTAATTACAGCTACTTTAAAGTACTGTGGTACATAGCCTGTTGATAGAGATATATTGATCATATCTAGTATAGAAGTGCTGACTAAGGGTAAAACATATTTAAGCAACCTAGTCGGGATGGGGTCTAAGAGGCAGGTTGATGGTTTAGATGAAGAAATTATTGAAGTTAGTTGGTAAAGGTTGAGGGAGGCAAAACAGTCTAAACATATATCTGGTTCTACAGCTGTTTCTAAGGTTCCTGAGTTTAGAGATAAGTTGGTGCCAGTTAAAGGCAGGTCTTGGTGAATTTTGTTTCTAATAGTTAGAATTTTATCATTAAAGAAGCTCATGAAGTCATAACTACTGAGATCTATGGGAATACTTGGCTCAATAGAGCTGTGACTCTCTGTCAGCCTTGCTACAGTGCTGAAAAGAAACCTGGGGTTGTTCCTTCCTGACCTTCTGCCTCTGAAAGGGCTGGCATGCATCCTCTTCACAAATTGTAAGTGTCAGCGTGGCAGTTGGGGAAGGTGACTGTTTAAAGATGGTGTTGGAGCGGAGGAGAGTTGTGACTGTGGGCTTCTCAAACCTACAATATAAAACATTCAACTCCTCTTTGTTCTGACAAAGCTTCCTGAGTTTCGCCGTGAACCAGGGTTTTTATGTTGTTGTATGTGCAGAAGGTTTTAGTCGGCACACACATGTACTCACAAAAATTGATGTAGGATGTCACAGTGTGAGTTAGTTCGTCAAAGGTTGGTGGCTGCAGCCTCAAAAACACTCAGTGCAATCAAAGCAGGCCTGTAAATCCAGATTTGACGCGTTGGTCCATCTTGTCACACTCTTTACAACATGCTTAGCAGATTTCAGTCGCTGCATGTAAGATAGGATAAGATTGTCCTAACTAGTAGGGGGTGTGACAAGACAAGACATGATATTCAGTCCCTCCAGAATTTCGCTAGCCTTTCTACTGATTGTTGTGCTCTAAAATGTCTGATTGTGTGGCAGCTTTTCTAAAAAAAATTGCAATTAAAGTTGTAGGGCTGACCCTGAATAGTCGATTCAATGCATCGATGGGCGGAGCCTGATTCGACTGTCAAGCTCACAGTCGAAGCTTCGCAGCAAAATGAGGATAATGCCATTTTGGCGATGTCGTGATGCCCAACGTCTGATTTTATATAGAACTACTAATTTTCTCCCAATAAGTGAATATACAGCCTATTACAATATAAATTTCAACATTTTATGCTGTAAGGGCGTGAATAAATCCAAAATTGTAACCCTAACCCTGGGGCGTCAGTGCTCATGCGTAGGCGAAGCGTGTATGTGTATGTGTATAGTGGCGGAAGAGGAACACTTGCTGAAAAAATGGAGCCCCAGTTTCACTGGCATTGTGCCAAGTTGTCCAACCCCCGCAGGCCTTTCGGATAATTTATCACCATTGATTAACCACACAAAGAATATTATATCGTTTTTAAATAGCAGGTTACTTGAAATAGATATGCGAGGACCCGCACTGGCACCTGGTCCAGTTGTTTGGGCCGAGTAGATCGTGGTCTGCTGCTCTTTATCCAAAAACTCCGTCTTCATCTTCACATGACTGTATTTATGTCAGAAGAACACATGTTTTGGCAAAAAAGTCATAAAAATACTAAAGTGTAACCAAGTTTGAAGAATTTACGGCTGCTGCCTCTACAAGCGCTGCCAGTTGCCATAGCATCTGTTAATGTAATCATTAACTAACGTCATCTTTTAATTCAAATTTATAATATGTTTTATTGCTCCACTGGTAATATCCCCTTCAGACCATTGGACAGACAAAGAAACCAGTTTGGGACTGTACGTTAGGATGACTGACACGAAAACAAAGCTAACTGAAAACACTCAGGCAGAAATCACCACAAATCCGCACAGATATTAACTTCAGCACCTCCGATAAAGTCTCATCAACTGGAAATCACGCGATCCTGTTACTGCAGATAACAATAATGAATGTCTTCTGCCACACAGAGTGATCATGATATCTCACCGTAATCAGCTTCAGCTTGTGTGGAAAAACCTCTTTCTCTGTAGGTTTCCTGTTTGTAATGCAGATAATATTATTCTACATCATAATGAAATCCTCTTTGTTGTTGCACAAAATGTAGTCAAGATTCTATGTTCTGTCCCAGATGTAGAATAGTTATTTAAAAATATCAATATGTATAGGAATAGTATAAGTAAATAATGTAATGGTAATAATGGTTTACAGCATGATAGTTGTACAAGGGAAGAGTGACTGTTATAAAGTGTAATGTGCAAAGTTAATATGCACACAGGACTTCTTCAGATTAACGTGGTAATTCCCCTTCAGGCAGGAAACAGTGCCACTTTGTGGTTAAAAAATACACTAATGTTGCTGATGAATGAGGTCAGCTGTTACAAGCTCTATGAATCTGGTTTGCCTCTAGGACACATTATTGTACCTTTCTCGTTAGTGTATAGTAGACAGTATCTCCGCCTTTCATGCGGATGATCGGGGTTCGATTCCCCGACAGGGAGAAACATTAATTTAACAAGTGGATAGAAGTCGAGCCTCAAGATCTGATTCTGTCAACATTCATACACAAACGGAGATCTGACATGAATCTGGTCACATTTATCAAATACAAATTGAGGTCAGTACCTACAACTACAAGCAATAAATTTAGATATCTGGAACTCCTGTGTGTTTACTGTTGGCTGAAGACACAATTTTCTGCCATCTGACTGAAACTAGTGCATTTACATAATATCGATTATAAACTTTAAATTCTTCATCAGTAGATTATTATCTGTATGATGTTTAATATTGTAAAACTTGTTTCAATTACATTTGCTCCTGTTTTAAAGTGTGTACAATCACAAAAAGTGACAACCTGCAGACTTTTTTCTTAGCTGGTCTAAATTCAAGGGAAAATAGAAAACATTAGGAAAAGTGAAAAGTAATTAAGGGCAATAAAGCTGGAAGCCACTGTTTTAACTGCTTGTTAAAGTGTCCTTATGTTCTGATTACAAATGCTGTAGAAGACTTACGTCAGCATCATCTTTAGATCAGTGTGTTGATTATTGTGAATGCTTAGAACTCACTTCTGTTTCCATCCTGAATTCAGATGTGAAGTGTACATCATGAAATATAACAAAAAGGAAATCGTATAGAGGGCAAGGAGCGTAATATAGAGGTAATAATTAGTGATGTGCGGATCGATATTTCTGATACCAACGTTTCCTGCTCTAGGATCCATATCTAAACTCAGTCATTTGGAGTATGTTTTATTATAAGTATCTTACTGTCATCAGGATTGTCTAATTATACTCAGTTCATAGGAACTACTTTTCCTTGCGCCTGTCAAAGTCAAGCTTGCCCTACGGGTCTGTGACAGAGCTCCTTTGAAGTGAGCCACTGCAGCTCTTTCCATTTCCCGCAATTGAATACGGACTCTGGCTGACTGTAGAAACAGTCACGTCTGGCTGTATTTTAGCTGTGAAGATGTGTTGATCTGTGTGATCGAATACGTCACTAAACATCTGAGATTAAGTCCAAATAAGTTGTTAAGTGGCAGTTCTGAGCAGGATATTTCTATTATAATTAAAGAATATGACATTAGTTTGATGTCTTATGACTACTTTTAATTGGCAAGTCTACAGGGTGGAGGGGGGTGACATTAAACTGGAAGAAAAAAACAAAAAAAAACAACCAAGTAGAGTCTATTGGTATTGGCAATACCAGCTTAGGCATTACTTAGTATTGGATCAGTTAGGTATTAAGTGGTATCCACATCACTAGTAATAATTTAACACTTGGGGTAGTTAGTAGGCGATTTCAGTAGGAATAAAGCTCTTGGTGTAAACAGTGGGTGGCCCTGAAAAGGGCCTTTGTGTTGCTGGGTGTAACAGCGGGTTTACTTGGAGCTGGTGTACTTGGTCACGGCCTTGGTGCCTTCAGACACGGCGTGCTTGGCCAGCTCACCGGGCAGCAGCAGGCGGACGGCGGTCTGGATCTGAAGTTGAAGTGAACCCGCTGAGTCAGTGAACCCGCTGAGCATCAACATAACTTATACATCAGTTCAAATAATGACATGAAAACGATCATATCCCGGACAAAACTTAGTGTGACAGAGACACTAGTGTGCATGTGAAGGTTGTGATTATGATGAAATGACTGTTGTATGTGTGTTGGGGTGAGTTTGGGTGAGCTGTCACTACCTCTTCTCTATTTAGCAAACCCTTAAAAAAGGCAAGTAAAAACTACAGTGGCTGAAAAACACAAGGCCCTTTTCTAGATCCAGTGATTGCTTTGCTAAGTCTGGGCTAGTGTAGAAACATGGTGGCTGCCGTGTAAGAGGACCTGTTCTCTCTGTGTAGATATGATTATACATATTCAGGTGATTATACACTAATGAAGACATACTTACGGACCGTATTCGGTTTCTGCCAGTAGATCATCTTAAGTGTTATATTGTCCTAAAAGTTACCTTAGAAACTGAAAATATATAATTTAGGGGAACAGGACATGTTTACAGGATCATGTAGTCATTGCCCTGGTTTGACATGAAACAGTGCAAGTTCAGAGGAATAAAGCTCTCAGTGTAAACAGTGGGCGGCCCTGAAAAGGGCCTTTGTGTTGCTGGGTGTAACAGCGGGTTTACTTGGAGCTGGTGTACTTGGTCACGGCCTTGGTGCCTTCAGACACGGCGTGCTTGGCCAGCTCACCGGGCAGCAGCAGGCGGACGGCGGTCTGGATCTCCCTGGAGGTGATGGTGGAGCGCTTGTTGTAGTGAGCCAGACGGGAGGACTCGCCGGCGATGCGCTCAAAGATGTCGCTCACGAACGAGTTCATGATCAGCATGGCCTTGGACGAGATGCCGGTGTCGGGGTGGACCTGCTTCAGGACCTTGTACACGTAGATGGCGTAGCTCTCCTTCCTGGTCTTCCTCTTCTTCTTGCCGGTCTTGGAGACGCTCTTAGAGACGGCTTTCTTTGAGCCCTTCTTCGGAGCCTTAACTGGATCAGGCATCTTCAACTTCGTTATAGTTCTCAACGAATAAGTCTGAAGCGATGAGGCGGCACATTTCTATGCGCTTGATGCAAATTAAACTGTGTTGTTCCCCATAGAGGATTGGCTGAAATTTAAACAAGACTGCGCATGCGCCACACAAGAAATAATTAAATCTGTGAGAAGGGAATAAAGATGTGAAGGTCAAAAAATAAACACAGTAACACAGATTTAAGTTTATTTATTTTAGCAGTGGAGAAAGTATTCAGATACTTTAATTCACTAAAAGTACTAATATCACACTATGAAATATGTCCTGTGACTGGTATATTATTATATATTCCTATATTATTGTTATTATTTCTCATGTATTCGTGTAAAAGCAGGATTCTACTGTTGTAGTTGTTACGGTGGAGCTCATTTTCAAATATTTTGTATCGGCTGCAAACAGCAATTATTTTCATTATGGGTTAACCTGGTTGTTTGGTTTGTAAAAAATCTGAAAATAGTAAGAAATACCACCCAGAGCCCAAAGCGGCAATTTCACAATGCTTTTCATGTCCAACCAAGAGTCAAAACCTCAAAAAAGTACAAGGTAAATCAATAAAGCAGCAAATACTGAAGTTTAACCATGAAAACTTTGGCCTATTAGCTTAACTTAAATATAGCTGCCAAATTATTTTCTATCAAACAGCTAATCATTTCAAACACCAATCATTTCAGCTCTGCTTGTAAAAACTATTGGGTAGTTTAAATTATAACAAAACTTTTAATACCTAAGTAACTATTAATAAAGATCTCAAATAATTGTAGTGATAATATATATTCCTCCCTGATAAGTAGTGGGCAGAAGAAAAAGGTGCCATTCAAGAAAATTCTTAATAAAGTGCTTAATGAGTAAATGTACTGAAGTTACACACTGTGTGCCTGAAAGAGTTTGGTAGGCTGTAATTTTAATATTGATCATATCCACATGGGTCGGGCTGTAATTCAGTACTGATACGTTCATGTAGGTACAAAGGAACAATATGTGATATTAGGATATAAGTGGGTTACAATGTGGGACTTTAAAATAAAGATATTATGTAGGTATTAATAACTAATGGGTACTATTCTGTAGAAACCTACTGAGCAACAAAGCTAATATTGTGTAATGAGTCCTACATAATGTGACCTTTTAGATAACTCAAATAATAAATGTTTATAATTTACCATTGAATTGTTTTGTGTTTAAATGCGTTTGATTAACGGTGACAGGAAGACCGATTCTGATAATGCAATCACCTCAAATTGTGACATTTCTCTCCAGGACAGCAGCTGCGTTAATATGTTAGTATGGATTGTGAAAAATAGTTAAAATCACCCTACTCTAATAAGTGGTTGTAAACTGATGTAATTTAAATTGCACACGTCGTCCTAGAACAGCATACTTAATCATTATTAAATGTATACTTCCCATTTGCAGCAGTGTTACAGTAATGATGGTATGAGCCAAATGTTTGCCCACCTGCTCAGCTGTCTCATGCACAGATGTAGGTCACCAGACTCTGCAAACAGTTTGATTTTAACACTGACAAATACTTCAGCCCAGTTCTTCTCTAGTATGTTAGACTTGGCATTTTAGCCTGTATGTAAATGATATTGTAGTTGGTTCTTCTTTGTATGTTGTGGGAACTCATTTTGCTTTTTTTATAGCCTTATTTGTAAGTTTAGTTTCATCAACCCTTTGCAATAGTAGTTTAGAATTTACTTAAATCATTAGCACTGTGAATCCCCAGTTTGTGGAATTTTCTGGATTCACAGTGTAGCAGTTTATAAATTAAGAAGTCAACTCTTTAGATGAGGTGTGGCCCTTAAAAGGGCCTTTGTGTTTCAGTGGGTCTGGACCGGGTCTAGCCTCCGAAGCCGTACAGGGTGCGGCCCTGCCTCTTCAGAGCGTACACCACGTCCATGGCGGTGACGGTCTTCCTCTTGGCGTGCTCGGTGTAGGTGACGGCGTCGCGGATGACGTTCTCCAGGAAGACCTTGAGCACCCCGCGGGTCTCCTCGTAGATCAGACCGGAGATCCGCTTCACTCCGCCGCGGCGAGCCAGACGGCGGATGGCGGGTTTGGTGATTCCCTGGATGTTATCACGGAGCACTTTACGGTGACGCTTAGCGCCTCCTTTACCGAGTCCCTTTCCTCCTTTGCCTCTTCCGCTCATGTTTCAGCTTTACTGTTGAACAAACTGATGAATTTGAGGGTCGACACGCGGTTTTTACATCTTATCTGCGGACGTCAAAGAGGACAGAAGGCGCGAGTTCCGCTGGGCGGTGCCAAACTCAGCTTTCTTGAAGCCCCTCCCTCTCTGGAGAGTCAACAGTTTGGCCCCGCCCACACTGAGCAGCACTTTTTCCGGTTTGGTTTGTAGGTTTTTTTGTTGTTTTTATCAGAATCACCTTTATTATTTATAACAGCGGTGACTTGTTTTTTGTTTTTCATTGCTATGATCAACCAGCACCTGACTGTTGTTGCCATACACGGGCAATTTCTTGTTTTATAGTCTACTCATAGAAATATGGTAGGCATTATTTTGCCAGTGGGTTAAAAAAATATTACTGTGTTTTTTTGTCATTAAATGGACCAAGTAAACATAATTTAAATAAATTTCAAAATAAATATAATTTGGGGTCCTTGCCTTAAAGCAACACTGTATCATAATGGTAAAGAATGGAAAAGAGAGTTATTATTTAAAGTTTGAATACTATTTATTAAAATACTCAATGAAAATACAATCATTCTAAACTTGAAAATGTAAAAATAAACTTTACATAGGGTTTTTTGTTTGAACGTTACCCTCAGGCATCAGTGTGGAACCGCCTATAGTAATGAATGCAAAAGAGAAAACAAAACTTACATTAAAAATCTTTAAATCCAAACTGCTGAAAATCAAGACAGAGCTACTCTCCATCATTTCATCATTTGTGTTAGATTTAAATGTGTATCTTCAGTTTTCTGGTGCCGTTTCAGATATGTGGAACCTCGCAGCCGTCTTCGGCTCAATACGAAGGAAGTTGACAAAATACATCACATTATCAATAAGTGAAAACAATTATTAAATAGGTTTCCTCCCTATTTTATACTCATACCTGTCACTGCACTTTTATCCTAACTGCTCTTCTTCACTCTTTTCCTCATCTGCGTTCTAAGACTCATCCTCACAATCACTCTTACTTTTCTTGCAGGATTATCCAGCAACTCACTGTTTTCGTCACTACTAAATCCTTAAATTATCCAGTGTAATAACATTTGTATCACAGCGTTATTAGAACTAACATTATCAAATGTATAAATAATTAATGAATTAATTACTATAGAATGAGAGAAAATTATGTCAAGTTTTATGCTTTTGATCAGAATATAAACCTAATGCACAACACCAAAAAATGCCATGGCGGGATTCCACAATGGTATGATGTTGCTTTAAAGCAACATTTGCATTTTAAGCATTTTCCAATATATAATTATCACATTAAACAATTAACAATGAAACTTGACTCACGACTTCTTTCTGGATCAAAAAATAGCATAAAAATATGTTTTAAGGGGTGTGTAGTGCAGAGAGAAAATGGAGCTGAACCAACCATGTGTCAAAGGCAGCAGTGAAGGGATTCATAATGGGCGCCAGAGAAGTTAAGTTTTATGCAGATCAGAATCAGAATCAGAATCAGAATCCGCTTTATTGCCAGGTATGTGTACACATACAAGGAATTCGACTCAGGATTATATATTGCTCACAATGTGCTTACTTGTACAAAAATACCATAGTACAATAATAAAATAATAATCAAATAAAATCAGACATAAACTACAGTATAGACAACACTAACATACACACTATGAACAAAACAATATAGACGTATTGACAAATAGTGCAGTGATCAGAGTGCAAAGGATGCAAGAGTAAACTATTATTATTATTATGTACATGTTGAAGGTGGATATGATATGCAGGTACACATACATGTACACAGTGTGATGGAACATAGTGCAAAGGATACTAGAAAAAATAAATAAGACCTATGACCTTATGACCTGAGGTAGGTGTATTGGTATAAAGTATATACAATGACATAGTATGAACAGCACTGAAATAGAGAATGGTGAATAAATAAAAAATAAGTGGATACCAGTAAACAGGTGGCTGATTAGAGGCACAGTTACTGGGTTATTGCACAGGAATTGTTCCTGACACCGTGAGTCAGAAATCAGCTGATGGCTTGTGGGAAGAAACTGCTTCTTGGTTTGGCGTACAGTGCTCTGTAGCGCCAACCAGAGGGGAGGAGCTGGAACAGGTTGTGTCCGGGGTGAGATGGATCTGCAGTGATGTCTCCTGTCCATTTCCTGACTCTGGAAATGTTTAAGTCCTGAATGGAGGGCAGGTTGGCACCGATTATTTTTTCTGCAGTCCTGACTGTCCATTGTAGTCTGCTCCTGTCCTTTTTGGTGACAGATCCAAACCAGACAGTGAAGGAGGTGCAGAGGCCAGACTGGATGATGGCTGTGTAGAAGTGGATCAGCAGCTCCTTAGGCAGGTTGACCTTCCTGAGCTGATGCAGGAAGAACATCCTCTGCTGGGCCTTCTTGATGATAGTGTCAGTGTTGGGCTCCCACTTCAGGTCCTGGGAAATAGTGGATCCAAGAAACCTGAAGATTTCCACAGCAGACACAGGGCTGTTGAGTATGGTGATGGGGGGCAGAGTGGGGGGGCTCCTCCTGAAGTCCACGGTCATCTCCACAGTTTTGAGCGTGTTAAGCTCCAGGTTGTTCTGACCGCACCAGAGAGCCAGCTGATCAACCTCCCGTCTGTAGGCCGACTCATCACCGTCCCGGGTGAGGCCGATGACCGTTGTGTCGTCAGCGAACTTCAGGAGTTTGACAGATGGGTCTCCTGAGGTGCAGTCATTGGTGTAGAGGGAAAAGAGCAGTGGGGAGAGCACACACCCCTGGGGGGCCAGTGCTGATAGTCCGGGTGCTGGATGTGATGTTTCCCAGCCTCACCTGC